ACAGAAGGTTTAAGGACACAGCAAGGTGGCAATTCCTCTTGCTCACCCCCAACCCATACCTTGCTCTGCAGTCAGCACATGAGGGCTGATGTGAGGTGGCTGAGTGGAGCCCAGAGGCTCAGCTGCCACCTTCTTACAGAACAGGGGCCAAAGCTTCCCTGCTTGTCCCCCCATGATGTTGCCATGGGTAGGCACCAGAGTTGGGCCACAGATACTCTTGGTAACAAATCCTTTCAGAGCAGCTTGGCTTCCTTGGCTCAGCTGGGAACGGAGCATTTGCAAGCACAAGTCTGTGCTTCACAACCAGATGTCTATGGGTGGAGAGACAGCAGCAGCAATTAAAGGAATCAAAAAGAAAAGCCCCTGGTAAGTGCCAGGCAGGAGAAGCCCTCACACAGATGAAGCCCCTTTAAACAAACCAACCCCCCCCCCCCAAGCAAAACAAAAAATACAAAGGGATTCTGTTTAACTCTTTATTTTCCATACATTAAATTTACTCAGATAAAAACATTCTAAAAATGTACAATTTTACTTTTAACAAAGTATAATAAAACATAAAAATCCCAATACCAGAATACCTGACATTTACAATTCAAAATCAAATTAGCTGAATATTAAATATTTCCAAAACTATTTAAAATATTTATAAAGTTACATGCGCAATTTGTAATACTAGAATTGACCGAAGTAAAAGAAATGGCTCAAATGTAACAGGAGTTTCTTTCATTCCTAGTGGAAAGTTATGTTCAAGAGAAGCTGTTAAACTGCACTTGCAAACACACAAGATTTGCTTTCTGCTTCAGTACCAACATGGTTCTTCCTTATGTTAGGAAAAATGGAAGGGAGCAAAGGGGTAGTTCCAAGGGTTTGGTACAGGAGGTGTCATTGGGCTGTGGCCTCACCCACCCAACATATTTCTGGGCCTCTTGAAGTGCTCAGTCACAGATTTCTCTGTCCACATCCTTATCATTTAACAGCATTCCAGACTAAAAACCAGGTAGTGGACCAATGCTCTGGGGGTTCAGATGACGTCAGGTTTATTTTGGGGAGGAGCGTTGCTCTGAATGCCACCAGGCCCCGTTTCATTTCCAAGTACCCTCTCACCCTGCAGCTTGCCAGCCAGGAATAGCACAGAATGGAACTGGGGCAATGGTAAAGGCCTAGCATTAGACTGTTATTTTTGGAAGTCTAGCACTTACTTAAATTGCCAAGATTTACTGACTATGGTATGAAAAGGTTTCACATAAAGGGGAGTGCAATATGCTGTTTGAAGAAGTCTCATGGAACTCTGATCCATACCCCGCTTACTAAAACAAGGCTTCCTTCTTTGCCCTCCTGCTGTTCAGTGGCAAGCCTAGCCTATTTATTAACGCTTAACTTGCAGACTGCCAGTGCAAGGAGGAGCTTGCTGGAAATTCCATCCTATTTAAAATCTTTCCATCACCAACACTCCCAAATGGAAACCGCTTCTGAGAATGCACTGCACATCACTCACTCCCTTGAGCACTAACTTCTCTGTGCCCCTGCAGGAGAGGACTCAGGAGTCCCTTCCACCTTATATTTAAAAATCACTTCTATTCCACAGTGAAATCCATTTTGAGAATTAATTCTTTTGATACTTCTAGGACACAGACAGGAATAAATAGCTTTACTTGAAATCCCCATCTCTCAATGTATAAAAATAGGCTTTAAGAACTGGTTCTTTCAGCCAGTAAAGCTGGAACTACAATTCTAAAACAAGCTGCCTTGCTTTTTTTGGTTAAAAAGATGGATTTGTGCCTTTAAAAACAGATGTAAAGATTATTTTATGGTACTAAAGTACTCTGTTCAGACTTACCAACTTGGGATGTTCTTGGTAATTTAAAGTGGACAGCATTTGCTCACAGATCTGGAGCCTCAGCTCACTGGGTGTAGGGAAGGCTTGGGAATTGCTGTTAGCTCATCAAACACTTGTGCTGATTTAAGGTACTCGAGACCTCTGAAGTTGAACTTACTCTAAACCCAGACTCCACCATTTAAAACTGTTCCCTAAAAGTACACAGAAGCCAGTTTAAGAAACATCAGCCTTAACTTTACACAAAGGAAACTATCCCAAAGAAAGCTCGGAAGAAAGGAATGAAACAGTTTGCTGAACAGAAATTCAGTTTTACAGTCCTTTTGTTACAGTTTTGAGACTGTGAGAAATATTAGTCAAGACACTGAGCCCAGCCTTAGGCATTAAATCAAAATACAACTGGTACAGAAATTAGTGTTAATTTTTTTTGCTGTTGATTTTTGCTATTTTGAGAGGGATTGTAACACTTGCATGTGTTTTGAAATACAGTTTACTTAAATACAATTCAGTTTTAAAATATTGTTTAAAAGAAGTGAATCCACCCCCCCCAATAAAATAAGGTTTAGCTTTCAGCACATGTTCCAGGCCACTGGAGAGACCCTCCAAGCTGTAAAGAGTAAACATCACCACTGAAAACTGCATGTTTCCTTAGCGTAACACAGTATGACAGATTGTTCCTACCCTTGTCTCAAGCTCATTAAGGCAAAGTAAATTGCATTGTCAGTTTTCGTCACTTCAGTGTTGTAGGTCTGAAGGTTGGTTGTTAGAATTCAGGGAACCTCCTCTATGACGGGCAGAGCGAAGGAAGAATCTCCACAGTGCATGCAGTATTGCAGGACGTGAGCTGGGCTGGGGATACACAAATCTTTCTTCTTCATTGCATAGGAATAAAAATTAATCTTTTTTTGTTTGTTTTAAAACTGAATGTTAGGCAAATTTAGATTTGGGTTTCCATGAAGCCAAATCCACTACAAGCCACAGATCACTACTTGGACTGAGCTTGGTTCCTGGCCATTTCATGTTGCTGTGCCTCTCCAGCAACGCTCCTTATTCCTGCTCATCTCCCTGGTGAGGCTGACAACCTCTCTCTGAGAACACAGGACTGAAGAATGGCCCAGAACATTTCTTTCCTATGAACACGGTCCAGAAAGGTCTCAGCTGTCAAGCTAGTGTGTCACCCCCTCACATGAATGTTTCACTGCTAAGGCCCCTCAGGGCAGCTCTACAAACTTCTCCGATACAACTTCCCTTGCTTCCAAGCAAAATCGGCTGCACCACTACAAATACTCTTCGTCCTGGTGTGGTTTAAATGGGTGTAAGAAATATCTCCAAGTATAAACAAGGCTTCAGACTTTCAAGGTGTCTTCTCAATTACAGTAAGCAAATGTTGCTATGATGTCAGATGTTTTAAAGAGAAGGCCTCGCCCATCTAATGCCATCAGATTCCCTGGGTGAACCATGAGGATTAGTACCTTCTTTTAACCAGACAGGACCAAACTGTTTCAAATTAGCAGTTCAAGATTTGTTTGGCTTCCTCTCAAGTCCTAATTTAGATTTGTCACCCACAAATGATGTTCACTAAGTGGTTAGCACCAAAGCTAGTCATCTACAATCTATTGCAACGGAGGCTGACAAGTAATCCTCCAAAGTCTTGATAATAATGAAGTTTACTACCTTTTACATGTTTGACTTCTACCACTTCTGAATCCTGTAGCAAAAGCTTCAGGGTAGGAGTCAAGGGGGTATTTTTTATATAAAGTAAAGCAAAAGCTTACAAACTCTGCTGCCAGAGGGTTTTGTTGTTGGTTTTTTTTCCTTTTAGGATGGTTTAAAATTCATTTACAAAAGCAGAATAATAAGGTTTCTGTGAAAGAGACCTATGTACAGTAAGAGGATACAAAGGTTTTGTGTATTACAGGAATATATCCTTGAAGCCTTTATGACTCTGGAGTCTCTGGGACTTGGACCCTTGGAAACTAAGTTTATTCCACTGCTGGGAACCTAGCACTATCTAGTAATAAGTTAGACAATGAAGTACAAGTTTGTTTCCAGAAGAAAACAAAACTGCCATGTGTGTTCTTCTGGAAGGGAAAGGAGAGCCTTACTTCAGATTTTTATTGTGTGGTTAAGTCACATAGCCTACTGGTGCCAACTGTTAAAAATTGGAACTTTTGCCTCTTGCACTGGTCTCATAGTGATACTGTCTGCTACAAGTGCAGAAAGCTTGAAGAGTTTTACATTCTTCCGTAGTGTAATCCTTAAAAATCGCAGAGATCAGTGCCTGATCACTTTTGAAAAAAAAGTAGACATTTTACCTAGCCCAAGGGTGCCAGAGTCCTTCTGGCAAACAGCTACTCCCACCTTCAGCCTCCACTTCAGAATGTAGTTGCCCTGGAGTTTGACATTTCACCTTCAGAAGTCTGCATATGGAAACGTGCTCCAGCAAAAAGAAAGTACCTTAGATGTTGTACTCGCATCAGGCCAGCTCCACCATCCATCAATCCTATGACACGTACTCAGAAGTTCCAACAAAAAGATCCAAGCTTGAATTTGGCAATCAAAAATGGGTTTGATGCACCCCTAAGCTAGATTTTCTACCTAGTCTAATAAAGTAAAGCACCTTTGGATTAAAAAAATACATTAAGCTTAACAGCAACTTGAAGTTTCAGTTTTGTTTTTCAGTCTCCTTATATCTCCATGGCTTACAGTATTTTCTTGCCAGTTGATAAAATATCAGTCTGTGGAGTCAAGACCTTCAGAGGGAGGAGCATAGTTCAGCCTAAACGTACCTGGGGGAGAGGAAACAGAAGAATTAAACAACATCAACCCCTTCACATCCATTACTTCCCTGCACTTTCTAAAACAAACTGCTTCATAGACACAGAACAATATTACAGTAGAACACTGGCTTGCAGCATGCCACTGAAGCTGCAGAAGAGGCTGATAAACGTATATCTGCAGCTGGTGGAGCTAAAAATCAAAGCTTGGTTTTACACAGTCAACGTCACTGGCTTAGATATAGTTTTAGGGCTGGCAAAAATTCATTTGGGATAGTTTAAATGGAAATTTAATTAATGAAATGAAATTCAGATTAAAAATGATTGGACTGTGTTTCTGAAGTTCTCTGAATTAGGACTGATGAGGCAGTGTCGCTTCTTCCCCATTGGCCACTATCAAAATATTATCCACAGAAACACCATTAATTATGTACATTTTAGCAGTGCTCTCAATTGCTGCCTCAAAACTAGAGTAACTTTTTATAGTGTTCAAATACTTGTCTGCACCATATAAAACCAAATACAGACACCCACTACAGACAAGACACTGTGTAAAATGAGCACCTCAGTGCAGTTCCCTCCAGTCAAAAGTTCATATTTCATTTTTTAAACCTATACCACATGCAAATTATCCCACCACAGTATGTCAATCAAAATAAATTAAAATGGGACTAGAAAGTGCTCTCAGCAAAAGTAATGTCTCTATCTTAGCAGTTTCCCACCTGAAATTAAGGATTTCATCTCTCTCCTGAAGAAGCCTGGGCTATAACTGTGTAAGCAATATGCCCTAAAAAAAAATTATAGCAGCAAACACAGGACCTTCAGGAGCATCTGAACAGTAATTCTTCATTTAGGTTACTATTTTGGGGAGGAAGGGAAAGGGGGAACAGAGCTGTTCAGCTGGTAAACTTCCAGGGGAACTTGCCATTAGAACCAAAGATGACCTGGATGACAAGGTATAAGCAGCAACAGTTCAGCTGCAACCTATCAACAGAAGCTCCTTCCCTCCCTCCATGCTTCTCCCCTTGCCTTTCAGAGCACCCAGGTCTGACCCTGGACCATACTTGGGCCCTGTGTCCTTGCACTGGGTCTGCACAAAACCAAGTTCAATTTACAAATACAGCTAAACCCCACCAGCTTTCAAGAACAAATTTTTGTTTATGCAAATCAGAAGTTAAAGACAGGGCACTGCCATCAGCCTCCCTCCAGCCCTCAGGGCATGCACCCATTCCCCTTGGCTAAGCACAGCACTCCATGTGTAAGCCATGTCTTGTATCAGTCCCTCTTTCTGCTTTACCTTGTCGATTGAAATCCATTGGAGGCTGTTTGCAGTCCTGAGCTCTGTGACCACTGGCCCCGCAGTTGTAACAGGAGAGATTCACATTTTTTTTGTGACTTGAACCATTGCTGTTTCCCATCATTCCCTGTGCCTGATACACCCCTGCTGTCCCTGCCATAAAGTTCTGCACTGGTGGTACCGCAAACGTCGACTGTCCAGTCATCACAGAGTCTGGTGCTATACCACTGTTGTAAGTGGTGTGGACCATGGGGAATGCTGTGCTGCTGTTGTACTGCTGCGTGTTGATGTAGCTGTTACTACACAAAGGGTTGAAGGGCAGAAATGGAAAAGTAAACATTGACGGGCCTGAAAACGGGTGCTGAAAATAGTTAGTGTAGCTGATGGTCATACCGCTTGATCCACAGTTCCCACTACACCCGCAGGAGCTGCACACCATGCACCCAGGCGGCTGAAGCTGCTGGTGGTGATGGTGGTGGTGGTTCTGGTTTGGTACTGGGATGCTCCCTGCGGATCCACTGCTGCTACTGCTGCTGTAGAAGTTGTTCTCGGCAACAGAGGAGAGCGTGGGGCTGGAGCTGGGTGCGGGGCAGCTGGGCAGATTGGCCATGGTCACAAAAGACATGGAGGGGTGGCTGCTGGAGGAGGCTGTGTTGCTGTTTGCACAGAAGCTGCCTTGAATTGGCGCCACTGGCACACTGCTCATTGCAGAAAAGGCAACTTTGGTGTTGGCTGTGTACAGAGCAGTTCGAGGATTTATTATTGCAGGAGACACTGTTATTTGCATATTACTGGAGCAGGAAGTCTGTCCAGCAATGGCAGAATCAGTAGGAAGAGATGAAGACACCAGGAGTTTGATGGGTGGACGAGCCACATGGAAGACCGTGCTGGATGTTACAGTGGCAGCAGTACTCGTTTCTACTATTAATCCTGGCTGCTGAGCTGTTTTTATCACTCTGTCCAGAGTTGAAGCATGCACAGCTTTGGCTCGAGGACCAAAATTAATAGTAGAAGTGGGTGAGATGTTCTCAGTGGCCCCTGACAGCACTTGCAAGGGCTGGTGGGGAGAAGATGCAGACATTACATCCACCACTGTATTTCCAAAGCTCTTTTCCACTTTTATGCTGCTCCTAGATCCAGGAGAAACTTTATTTCTTTCTTCTAAAGATAAAAGAGAATGCATAGACGATGAAAGTAGCTTCATGTCTGCATTTCCACGCTCTGATTTATGCACTGAGTTTAGCATCCGAATGGGGGTGATGTGAGTAGAGGTTGCTGACATCATTTGCATGGGCAGAGCATGGTGGCTGGACGGATTGGAGCCCATGTCATTTTGCACTGGTAAGACCTGAGCTGTGGGTCTGGTAGAGCTTGAAGTGAAATGGTTCAGTAACATCACTGACTTCTCCTTTTCTGAACCATCTAAGTGAATCTCTAAACCTAGGGACAGAAACATCTATAAATACAACTGCTTCATTAGACAAAGCTGGGCAACACAGGCACCCTCTTTGGTTGGTTCTGCTTACGCCTCTCATTCTCCTCAGCGCTGTCCGAGCTGTCTTCCCTTGTCTGGATCCCCATGGGGCTGGAAGAAGAGCTGGAGTACTCCGAAGAGCTGCCCTCAGGGGGCAGTGGGTGTGCTGGCTGATCCACATCCACTCGCAGCTCTGCAGATAAAGGGTGTACAAGCCATCAGGGAGTGCAAACAAGAGTGGTAACGCCTACTTGGCAGTACCTAATTACAACTGTTTCATGACACCATGTAACATACAGTGATGGTCAAGGTTTACAGACACATGCATCAGCTAAGGAGCAGAAGTCTGGAGTTGCTGACTAGTGCAGCCAGCCATTCACATGAAACCACGAGGAGGAAACTACTTTTTATTGCACTACATATACACAGAATCCCAGACTGGTTTGGGTTGGAAGGGACCTTTAAGCTCATCTAATTCCAACCCCCTGCCACAGGCAGGGACACCTTGCACTAGACCAGGTTGCTCCAACCGCTGTCCAACCTGGACTTGAATACTGCCAGGGATGGTGCAGCCACAGCTTCTCTGAGCAACCTGTGCCAGTGACTCACCACCCTCACAGTAAGGAATCAGACTTTTTGGTTGCTCCCATTAAGCCAATGACATTTTGGAAGAAAAAGCTTATGGCAGGTTGGTGAAAAAGCACAGTAAGAATGAGCTTACTCTTGTGCAAGGACACATTCAGCCTTGATAGCAGAGCAGTGTCCTCTGCTCCTCTTTCTTACCTGAAGCATGGTTGCCATGAATACTCTGGATTTGCCCTACGAGTGTAGTAGGGGGAACCCTTGCCACACCGCTGCTGGTAACTGAAGAAGGTGTTGTGGGGTTTAGGCACCGTTTCTCTGACTTTTCTCTATAGGGTGATGGAGAAGCATATGAGGAAACAGAAACTGGCTAAATCACAACAGATAAATCGATTTCTGAATGAAACTGAAGCAGACAGAGCCCACTAAATAATCCACTAAATGCTATGCTAATTTCAACTGGAAACATTTGGAAAACACATCAATCTTGGCACATAGTCCAAATATAACTGCTGGCAAGAAGCTACTAATGCTTTTATTTGTACAAGGGAAAATATCACCGAACAGTGACTAAATTCTATCACATAAGCACATCCTAAAGCCTAGTCATGCACACCAAAACCAAAGAGAAAAGCCAAATGCAGCCCAAAGTTTTCTTTTCGTAAACACACTTTGGAAAAACTAAAACTGATGAAAAGTGCTGTCAAGGAGCTTTGATAAATGGGCATGGATTTGGGTTTTTAATTACTTTGTAAGTAACTGCAGTAGCTTCAGAATAAATATTTCCCTCTAAGAGGAGATGCAAAAAATAGGACAGTCTGTTGCATCAGTTTCCCCAAAGGGCTATTAATACTGCACAAAGCACTGGCAATATTATGTCACCTTTTTTATATCACCTTCACCACATGAAGCTGTGGTCTTCCTGAGACCAGGTGACAACAGGTATTTATGTTACAACTGGGTCGTTGTATCCTTTTAAAACAGAGTTCACAAATTCTTTCCATTTGGTAATCCTTACCACAACCCTGAACAGGCAACAGTAAACCACTAAGTACTAAATATTATCCAGTAAGAGCTTTTCAAAGTAACCAACAACTTCAGAGGAAGGGAGATAAGCATTACCTATATTTAAAGCTGGGAATCCTGATAGGTTTATGCTCTAGAAAGCAAAGACCATCACGGAACTTGTGTTAAATATCTTATGGCCTTAAAAAGAGCTCCCACACACACACTTACTTCTCCAACTCTAGCTGGGTCTTGAGCTTCTTCTTTGCTCCCATGGTGAGGGATTCGAACTTATTCAGATCTTCCTCAGTAAGACTCAGAAACTTGTAAAGAAAAAAATGTGTGCTTAGTTTTACAGCCTGGAATATTCTTATGTACATTTTCAGTAGAGATGAATTCTGAAAAGCAACTTTAAAGCCATTTTTTTAACGTGTTAATTCAAAGAAACTCTCTAGTTTTTAACTATAGAATCAATGTAGAAGAAAGTGTGGGGGACCAGAACAAAAGAAAGAACATACATAGATTAATTAGGCATGTGCTTATATTAACTACTCACAATAAAGATGAAGTAATTTGTATACATAATTTAAATAGAACTTTGTGCTATAATGGGTTTAAGGATATGATTCTCTGAATACAAAACCAAACCAAACCAAACAAACCCCAAACAAAACCACTCTAGTTTACCTAGTTGTGTCATTTAACATAGAAATCAATGTGCAATCATCTCATCAGCTTAATTAGAAAATATACTCCAAAACTAAATCTTAAAATAAAATATAAACATAGAATATGAAATTGGAATATACACATTTATAATATAATGTAATGAAAATTAAAGGCAGCAAAGTATGCATAACAACACATGCTTTTTTAAAACACGCTAGAATATGCACAGTTTTGCTACTTTTTTAAGGAAAAAACCTCCTATATATTTCCCTCACATAATGAAGAAAATCGAATCAGATGACTCTGGTAACAGATTATAATTAAATCCATACAACATACTACAACCAGCAAGCACAAAGCCACCCCAATTTAGATTTAGCTCAACCTAAGCACTTGCTCCACTGGAGGGCGTTCAAGACAGTAAGAGGACATGAATTTTATAGATGGAGTTGGGTAAACGCTGTAAAGGTATTCCATTTAGATAAAAGCCAGCAAACAAAGATACCATTTGTGACTCTTACTATGTAAATACAGAAGTGATTAGTTTTCCACAAGAATTTCTGCAGAAAAAAAACCACCACACGTTCACTTGCAGGTACATGCCACACTAATGATCATGTCAAAAGTCTCTGAATCTATTTTTTTTTAAATCAGGATAACCAAATATTTTCAGAGAAAAATCCACAAAGAAGCAGAATAAAAAAAATCTTTATGAATTTTAGTTATGTACTGCATATCAAAGAGATGAACAGGGGGAGCCAAAGCATAGCTCCTAAGGCCGCATGCAAGTTGGATCTTCAAGCATTCAGTTAAGAATTCTGAAACAGGAGGCAGCTGTGGAACAGCCCAGGCCCCGGACACAACACAGAGCCAAAATAGAAAGGATTTCATCAAAATATTATTGCTTCAAGAGAGCAAAACCTTCACAGTATTTGCTAATAATTTCTGCAATTGTTGATGCAGATGTTTGCAGCCTCTCTGCACTAGAGAACATAAGTATGATTTAAAAGCCGTCTCCCTTTGCTTAACCTACTGCCCTACCTTTTCCATTGTGAGCTGTTTGAAGACAGGATAGTATTTGTGCAACCGCAGTTTCCTGAGCCAGTCTAAGATCCCATTTTGCTCCTGCATCTGAGGGGTCTGTGGACTGGAAGACATTAACATGGGTGAAGAAGAGGTGTCCACCTGGGTGCGATAGGCCAACGATGAGCCAGTACCTCCTGCATGGGAACAGTGGGGTAGTGCAACGGCAGCAGCAGCTGAGTGCTGAATGTGATTCTGAGAAGACTGAATGCCAGTCACTCCACATATAGGTCTGCAAAACAATAACATAATTCAGTTTAGCACACTGAATCCATCTCACCCATAGTTCAGCTACTACGGCCATACAAATCTACCACTTCCAGGATTTCTGGTAAAACCTGCACTGTTGGATCCAAGTTACAGATTTATCTCTCTGCTGTTCAACAGCACAATAAAACCAGTGCAGTTTAGGGCAAATAGTATTATCTTTAGCTTAAGCAGAGGTTTCCTTCTATAATCACAGATAGTGCATGTTCTACTACCTCTGCGATTTAAAATAAGTTTAGAGATAATGGCCATGGTTCATCGTAATTCTTCGCATTATTAAAAAGAAGCCCAAATATAATCCTGTGGGAAATTTTACATGTGGAGGTAGCAAAATAATTCACAATATTGGCTCCTTGGAGGGTCTTGGGTTTTGTTGGAGAAAATTAAAATTGCCTCTTAAGAGAATGAGTTCTGAGTTGGCTAAATCCTAACAAAAGGCAAAAGAATTTCTTTCCTCCTTTTCCAAAAGCTGATTTCTACCTCCCTTGGAAGAGGTCTCCTCCTCCCTCTGAAATGAAAAACCCTGATGTACAAGGAAACATTCAAACATGCTGTACAGAGAAGAAAACCCTTTCAGAGATGATCTAGTCTCCCTTTGCCCACAAAGACCTGTACTAGGGATGACACGCCTACAATTCGGATGCAAAACAATTCTTTCTAAGTATGTGATTGAGACCATTACAACTTCTGCAGCAAGCAGTGTATCACAAAGACATCATCCATCACCACAGCTCAACACTGAAGTGTTAAAGCTTTAACTTTAAAGTGTTGAAGCTTTAAACCTTCAGAGAAAGGCTGCCTAGAGCAGGTGTTCATAGGCTTTTTCTGCCAGCAGGAACACTGCAGTCCTCTGATCTCATCTCCCATGTTAACACTGGTCAAAAGGTTTCCCTAAATTCTTCTCTCTGAATATACACATTTCTTAGGGCAAGAGAGCCACTGCTGATTTCATAACTGCCAATGACAGATAGTTCCTGAGGTGATGGGGTTTTACAACTAATCAGAACAAATTTAAACATAATAAATGTTTCACCTTCCAGATGTTCCCAGTGTAGCTCCTACTTTATAAAGGGAGGGGTCACCAGGATCTAAAAAACAGGAAACAGAAGTTACAAGTGGCATTGGTTTATGAAATGTGTATCAGTACAAAAAAAAATAAATTGAAACTTTATTTAAACTTACTTGAGCTCTGAAGTTGCTGTGAAGGAGATGAAGTGCTGAAGAACTTTCTAACGTAGTCATTTTTCACCATATGGGAAGGTAATGGTGCCAAACACCTGCATGCTCATCAAAAGCAAACACCCCCCCCATTCTGTTATATTTGATTTGCAGCCGCCTATACAATCAAGATTACAGAATGTACATGACATTTTGAAATTAAATTGGAAATTTTAAAATTAAAACATAAAAGACCTTTCAAATTAATATCACCATGCAATACTGAATCAAAGTACGGATGTTCATATGCTGAATACTACTTAAACATGTTACCATTGTGTTGCTCTCAACTCTGTTGAGTATTTTGGTAAAGATGCTTAATTTAGGAACACTGAACACCTGTAAGGCAGAAAATGTTCAAATATAAACTTGAAATTTTCCTTTCAAATTCACAAATCTGACAACCATAAAGTATAGATAGATATGTTATTTAATTTTCTCCTCTTGGAGATAAAGAGCAGAGGCATAGTCCGGCAGTGTAGGGAAAAAGTCTGTAAAACTTATGTCACATTTTCTCTGGGATTACTGTGCCTCTTCTAGGGGAAAATATCCTAAAACTTTGCAAAGTATAAAGTGTGTTCTATCAACATGACTAAACTTGTAGTCATGCAAAAACTTTGGCCAAATCTTCTATAGATTTCAAAAATATATAGAAAAATGTTTTAAAAAAGAGACAATTTTGAACATATCTTTGCCGAGTTTAAAAAGTCTTTGAGTAAGAAGTAATACAACTATACACATGCACACAAATGTGCTCTCCACCTTGAAAAATCACAGTTCATTTCTGAATATTTCAAATATGTAGCATTTAACAGAACAGCTTCTTTCTCTGCTCCAGAGACACAACCATCATTCTGTGAACATAGACTGCTGATCCATTAACCTAGATTTGTAGAAACTGTTGCTTGTTGAACTGCAGCAACACGCATTCTGTCTTACCCTCCCTAATTCTCATCAATAGGCTGTGATCCTCAAAGCACAGAAAGGACTATTTAAAATCATAGAATCATAGAATGGCTTGGATTGGAAAGGACCTTAAGATCATCTAGTTCCAAAACCCCTGCCATAGGCAGGGATGCCTCACATTAAACCATGTCACCCAAGACTCTGTCCAACCTGGCCTTGAACACTGATGGAGCATTCACAACTTCATTGGGCAACCAATTCCAGTGCCTCACCACCCTTACAGTAAAGAACTTCTTCCTTATATCTAATTCTAAATGTCCCCTGTTTAAGTTATAACCCATTAAACCTTAGTCCTATCACTTCAGTCCCTAATGAAGAGGACCTCTCTGGCATCCTGTAGGCCCCCTTCAGATACTGGAAGGCTGCTATGAGGTCTCCACACAGCCTTCTCTTCTCCAGGCTGAACAGCCCCAACTTTCTCAGCCTGTCTTCATATAGGAGGTGCTCCAGTCCCCGATCATCCTCATGGCCCTCCTCTGGACTTGCTCAAACAGCTCCATGTCCTTCTTATGCTGAGGACACCAGAACTGTACACAGTGCTCCAAGTGGGGTCGCACAAGAGCAGAGTAGAGGGGCAGGATCACCTCCTTCAACCTGCTGGTCACGCTTCTTTTGATGCAGCCCAGGATACGGTTGGTTTCTGGGCTGCGAGTGCACACTGAAGCCGGCTCATGTCCAGTTTCTCATCAACTAACATCCCCAAGTGCTTCTCCACAGGGCTGCTCTGAATCTCTTCTTTGCCCAACCTGTAGCTGTGCCTGCAATTGCCGCAACCCAGGAGTAGGACCTTGCACTTGGCATGGTTGAACTTCATGAGGCTGGCACTGGCCCACCTTACAAGCGTGTCAAGGTCCCTCTGGATGGCATTCCTTCCCTCCAGTGTGTCAACCAAACCACAGAGCCTGGTGTCATCAGCAAACTTTCTGAAGGGTGCACTTAATTCCACTGTCCATGTCACCGACAAAGATGTTGAACAGGATCAGTCCCAACACTGACCCCTGAGGGACACCACTCGTTACTGGTCTCCAGCCGGACATTGAGCCATTGACTACAACTCTTTGCGTGCGACCATCCAGCCAATTCTTTATCCACCGAGTGGTCCATCCATCAAATTGATGGCTCTCCATCTTAGAGACAAGGATGTCATGTGGGACAGTGTTGAATGCTTTGCACAAGTCCAGTAGATGACACCAACTGCTCTACCCCTGTCCATCAGTTCCATAGCCCCATCATAGAAGGCCACCAGTTCAGGCAGGATTTCCCCTTAGTGAAGCCCTGCTGGCTGTCACCAAGCACCTTGTTTTTCATGTGCCTTAGCATGCCTTCCAGGAGAATCTGCTCCAAGATTTTGCCAGGCACAGAGGTGAGACTGACTGGTCTGTAATGCTGTTTGCCATGAAAAATAATCTAGGCATGCATCTATTGGCTCTGACTGTGGAAAACCAATATCCATGGTGGCTCTGCCTGTGGTCTTTCTTAACTTAGGGAAAATAGGTGTTCAGCAGAAGCTCTAATAAAAGTTAGTATTTTAAAATGCCATTTAATACTTTGCATAGATACAGACAGTAGTAGATGAAAATAATGAAGTCCCTCAAATTTTCCTAGCAAAACTATTTCAGTATTTTGAAAGAGAGAACTGATGTGACCTGGCATAGATGAAGTTTTTTTTTAAATTGCGATTTAGATTAGATAATGGCCAAGTGATTTGTGATAATTCAAGGAGGTACTATCTAATGCTTTAAAAACATCTTATTTGTTAATGGCTTCCACAAATGTAATGCTATTACATATACATACACACCTACCTTTTAAAAACTAAAATAAAATAAATACCATGACAGCCTAAACTGAGACAAAAAGACAAAACGAAACAAAACAAACAAACAAAAAAACAAACAAAAAATCACACCTCTCTAAAGTGGTGGTGGGGGAAAATCCCCACAACCCATCCCTCAATACAGAAGGATGACTATTCAGGCAGCTATCTTTTTGCTGAGTTTTGGGGTGTGGGTTTGTTTGTTGTGGGTTTGGGTTTTTTTTTGTTTTTTATTAAAGCAGTTTGGGCTATTTTTTGATCCCAAACCAAGCTTCTACAAATCCCACGATCCTCTATTTGTTTTGAACAAGGAATGAGGAAATGTCAGTTCTCCAGGAAGCTTAATACTGAATATTATTACCATCTATGTTTCTGAAGAAAGAATTCGTGGAAAATTCTTCTGCACTGGAATTAGTAGAACATCAAGAAATAATGCTTAGGATCAGGCTGTAACTTCTTGAGAGTAATTTAGAATATGAATGTATTATTTCTATTTCCTGGTTGGTTTTTTTTTCTTTCAGTCGGTGAAAAAAGCCAAGTGTCAAGAAAAAAAACCCACAACAACAGAAATCCCAGCATACCTAAGGTCCAATTCCAGGTCCATGTGGTTCCGTTCTAGGTAAAATGAATCTGGACCAGCTAGGCAAGGAATGAATTTCTCCAAGTTTTCTTCTGGATACAGCTGAGATAGCTAAATGTAGAGTATAGTACAAATAATAAGTGAAAAGAAGACTTGTTACTCATATGAGATTCGATGCACAGTAACTTTTAAGTCAAACATTTTATGAAATTCAATCTAATTTTAAAAATGTCATTTAACAAAACTACATGCAGGAATAAAATATCTTTCCATGTTCAAAGTACTTTTCATATTGCCTTTACCTTTGAAATAAATTCAGTCACTTCAATGGAAGATTTGGTTACCAATGTCATTGAAGAATCAGACCACAGGACCTTAGGAAGTAAATAGTATTCAGTTGAGTAACTAACGGTCAGGGATTTAAATTTGGTTCCAAAAGATCAATAATAGGTATCAAATGTCACCCCCCAGACTGCAATAAAGTTTGCAATGTGTGACAGCAATAAGGAAATTTTTTTTCTTTGCGCACAAGTAACTATTACTCAGTTCTCCCTCACTGCCCTGTTCTTGCTGTTATTATACTTAACAGCTATTCTAAATGCTTAAAAAAGCACTCCACAGTTTACACAGCTATTGCATGCTACAGATGTTGCATTAAGCAACAGACTAAGTAATAGATTTTTTCCTCTCATTACTGTTAAAACACCTGCTTTGTAGAATCTGATATACAATATGAACAACTCACCACAGCACAACAGAGCCCATTTATAGTTAAACAACTCCATATGCCATGCAAAATCGAAGATGGCAGTAAATCACTCCACTGCAAAGAAAGGTATAGCCTTAGAAAGGAAACCTGCAGTTCCTGCTCTAGCTATGCTCTTTAGACACCATCTTGTATATGCCCTAGAAGAAGGAAAAGGTTCAGTATCCCTTCTCATATGCATTAAGTCATTACATTCTTAGATACAACGGCATTTATTGCTTGGTAGATGATTAGTTTAACTGAGCCAAAGCCAGGATTTCTTGCCACAAAGGACATCAGCATGATACTGACCAATGATAAATGCCTTCAGACTTCAAGTATCTGTTCACGGCATTTGGGAAGCATATGGATCTTCAGCAGTTAGAACTGCTAGGGAAGAAAGCTGGGTTTATGTGTTAAGAATCAGACGACCATCTTCTCAAATGACACTAGTTTCAATGACAACTGAAAATATACAGAAAGTTTTTCCAGCCATCAGAATGCTGCCAAAAAGACTGGTGAGAGAAAAGTATTTCAAAATATATTACATAATGGAGGAATTTCCTCTCTAAAGAGCTGCTACACAAAAAAAAAAAGGAAAAGATAAAGAGAACTTAAGCAGTTGCTGGTTTTACAAAGCCTGTGGGGTTTTTTGTTGTTTGGTGGGGCTTTTTTGTTTGGTTTTTTTTTTTTACATTCATGATAAATTAATACTTTTTTAGATTCATGAGAAATTTCAGAAAAAAACTAGAACTTTATAGCTTTGTAATAACCCAATATTTGCTATGACTTCCATTTTGCCAACTTGTTATAAATTTCAATACTTATAAAACAAAAATATGAACCATAATTGCAGGGAAGTGATGCTGAAAACACTAAACTACACTATTGACCTTCTATTCCCAAGCTGCTAAGCAAAACATTTAATAGTTGGGTTTCTAACCAAGCAAACAGCAATTTATTAGCTTAACTAAACTACACTACATATTATTCTTTGAGCTATAAGCTGTCAAGTGAAAAGCTGGTAAAAGCAATTTCTGGTATTTATAGAAAAATTTATAATAAGAAAAGATGCTTTACAAGATGCTAATATGCAACTGGAATCACCACAACTGCATACTTCATAAAGACTTTTTAAAACCCCTTGAAAAACTCCTTTCTAATATTGATATTTGGAACAATCACAGGATTTGGAAAATTCAGAACATTATCCAAGTCACAGAGTTTAACACTGTCAACACCACAAGCAGATGCTGAACTGATGCTCTATCTTGGGTGGTAGTTTTATCTAATAACTTTTTCTTTTTGGTAAAAGTCGTAGAGAATTGAAATTCTGCTGTTTGCTTTCAGGTTCTCCTTTTCTCACCAACTGTCTGGCTCCGCTGCCTCATTAAGCAAACCAAAGACATTTTCTGGGCTTTGCATTTTGAATTTTGGAATACATCATTCCAACTAGATGGGAGACAAGCAGTTTGTCATTCTTGCTCACCAGCACCCAGAATTCAGTCTCCACTATTAACACAAGGCTTCACAGAATGAAGTCATCCCTCCACAGAAACTATGAGCAATGACTGGACCTCCAAAAGCTGACTGAAAGGAGGGGGGGGGCGGGAGCCATTTCTAGCAGCTTGTGGCTAACCACCCTCATTCAAAAGAAACTATTCTCATTTCCAGTTTGAATTAGTCTGACTTCAATTTCCAGACCACAGTTCCTGTTATGCCTTTTTCTGATAGATTGACTGATTGATGGCTTGGCTTCATGAGCGAAGATTTGGGAAGGGCTTTAACCACGCTTACTACAAGCACGATGACCAAGGGCAAGTCGGATATCCAAATCTGATTGGAAAAAAGGCTGCTTAGGCAATCAGGAAGTGTCCGACCACGACTGTCAACTCCTGAGCTAATTCGAGCTACCCATGTGCTGGTCCGCCCACATGCAGCGCTGGATCTCCCATGCACCTTGTCACCTACCGTTTAGACCCCCTCACCCGTCCATACAGACAAGTGAGAGTAAGCCCTTCCAGCCTGCACAGTGGATTTTTTAGGTGATGCCCCCTTTACAGTATAACATTTTCTTACCTTTGAAAATGCTTTTATATGATACTGAAAATCATCTTTCAGTCAAGTTCTTTAAGTGTCTCACTACAGGGCATTTTCCTCAAGCTTTGAATAATTTCCAGAGCTATTTTCTGTACTCCTCAACACCCCTTTTATAACCAGTAATGCCTGAAGAATACACCAGTCTCCATTCCCCTCAGAGCTGCATGCAAAGCTAAATGACCATCCCACCTCTTTTTCTGTATATGCAGCAGTGCCTAAAGTGCCTTAAATTCACATTTGTCCAGATTAAGACTTAAATTCTTTCTAGCTTCTGCATTCAGCACATAGATAACTGTTCTGTAAGTGTGGCATGATATTTTCTCCTAAATATATACTTAGCCATAACTTGCTGCATTAGATACTTTGCCTGTATCCCACTAACTGGACAATCTCTGCATCATCCACATATGTTCATAACCAGCATTTTATGACTACTTCCAAATCATTGATTAAAAAATGCTACCATCTATCTCACAGGAGATCCACTAGACCAATTTCTGGGATCTAGCAATGAGGTTTGAGAACTTAAATCCTCCTTAAGTATTATTATCTTCCCTTCTTTCATAGTAAAAAAAAAACAACTTACCTCAAAGGAATATTCAACATTTCTTTCATTCTTCTTGTGTGCCAGTCCCTTTAGTTCTACTTTTTCAACACTCACTATGAAAAAAAAAAGAGATCAGAACAATGAAGCAGATATTCTTAAATGCATGCAAAAGTGATGACTCTCTGTGAGTGCCAGGACTTGCTTTGAGAGCACCTGATGCTTGTGGAAGTCCTTCAGGTGCACAGTTCAGGATTGCCTCGCTCAGCAGACAGGAAGGTCGATAACACCACTGTGTGATGCTTTCAACTCCAGCCTTAGCAAGGCTTCGTCTCAACAAGCACCCAAACAATACACTAAATGCAAAGTTCCTCATGGCCTTATCATACCACTCATCTATATAACAGAGTGCTAATCAAACGTGCATGGACTTATCTTAATAACATCAAGAAGCAAACACCAACCCTCCAAGTGCCCACTGTTAAGTCCACCCCTCAATCAGGAGCCCATCTATTTGTTGCATCTCTGCCTTAATGGCTTGAGGTGTCATGGGCCCACTGGGACAAAAATAATTCACCCTTATGTAGCCAATCTAAGTCCATTTGAGCCACTTTAATCTTAGCAGCTTTATCCACTTGTTGGTTGTGCTGGTGTTCCTCAGGGGCCTGACTCTTGGGTACATGAGCAACTACGTGGCGTACCTTCACCACCAGCTCCTGCACCCAGGCAGCGATATCTTGCCACAGTGCAGCAGCCCAGATGGGTTTCCCTCTGCGTTGCCAGTTGCTCTGCTTTCATTGCTTCAACCACCCCCACAGGGCATTTGCCACCATCCATAAGTCAGTATAAAGTACTGGCCACTGTTCTCATTCAGCAATGTCCAAAGCCAGCTGGATGGCTTTCACCACTGCAAACTGACTTGATTCACCCTCTCTTTCAGCAGTTTCTGTAACTTTGTCTGAGGGGACTCCATACAGTTGCCTTCCATCTCCGATGCTTTTCCACAATATGGTAGGACCCATCAGTAAACAAGGCATATTGCTTTTCACTTTCTGACAGTTTATTATATGGTGGGGCCTCTTCAGCACGCATCACCTCCTCCTCTGGTGACATTCCAAAATCTTTGCCCTCTGGCCAGTCCATGATGACTTCTCAGATTCCTGGATGACTGGGATTTACTATTCGAGCTCGTTGTGTGATTTGTGTAGCCCAATTATTCCATGTATTATCGGTTGCATGATGTGTAGAGAAGACCCTGCCTTTGAGCTTCCAGCCCAGCACGGGCAACCGTGGTGCCAGGAGGAGCTGTGCTTCAGTGCCAATCACTTCTGAAGCAGCTCAAACCTCTTCATAGGCTGCCAGTATCTCTTCTTTAGTTGGGGTATAGCTGGCCTCAGATCCTCTGCATCTCTGACTCCAAAAGCTGAGGGATCAACCTTGATTCAGAGAAAACTCCAGGAAAAAACTTGCCAACAAAGTTTTCAAGTTGACAAGCAGGTATTCTTTATTGCGGCGCTTGGAGACACGGGGGATAGCTCCTCCTAATGTGTGTCCCCGTATTGCTACACAGGCCATCCTTATATAGCCACTGGGCATACATACATATTCATGAGGCTATGTAGAGATTACATCATTTTCCAGAAAGTTTCCCCTCATGCATACAAATATGTGGTGGTGGTCTCTGAGGACCCTTTACTTCTTCCAACAATCTTCATCACTTCTGGCAGTTTTTGAAGCACACGCAGTAGATAATGTTTATACCAGCTTAATTGGTTCATTAACACCACAGACATAACAATCCTCCTGTCCTTCTACTTATCAGTTAGTTTAACTGCAACCCATCCTGGACACCTGCCATTCCCAGATACTCCTTATCCTTATGTCCTGTTCTTCTAGCCTGTTTTCCTTACACTCATTTTGTACTAAAGTCATAAGGGCCTAAAAGTACCTCAACTACAACGGTTTATCTTATACAAGAGTTCTCAGTATGTTCTCTAGCTGTACTCTACTTTTTTTTCTATGCATCATGCACCTCAGGAATTTTCCATTGCTACTGTTACAAAGCCATCAAACTGAACATTACTTAAAACTGATTCTAAAGGTTTATATATCTCATCTTGTGATTTTGTGCCCCCCTTGTCTCAACCTCGAGTCCCCCATGGAGCTTTCTGACAGAGGCTCCAGGTAGGACCATTCTCCCCGTCTGTGCTGTAAAGCACATTTTTCACAACTTGCCTGTTCCAGACTGGTCCAAGGGCTATCACATGAACTGTCTCGTTTAATTTGCTCAAAGGCTTGTTGTTGCACAGGGGCAAATTTGAAATCATTCTTCTTCTGGGTCACGTGACAGAAAGGGCTTACAATCAGACTGTAATTTGGGATGTGCATTCTCCAGAACCCTACAACACCCAAGAAAGCTTGTGTTTCTTTCTTGTTAGTTGGTGGAGACATTGCTGTTATCTTGTTGATCACATCTGTGGGGAACTGGTGACATCCATCTTGCCATTTTATTCCCAGAAAATGAATCTCCTGTACAGGTCCCTTGACCTTACTCCATTTCAAGGCAAAACCGGCTTTCAGCAGGATTTGGATTATTTTCCACCCTTTCTCAAAAAATTCTTCCACTGTATCTCCCCACACAATGATGTCATCAATGTATTGCAGGTGTTCTGGAGCTTGCCCCTGTTCCAGTGCAGTCTGGATCAGTCCATGGCAAATGGTAGGGCTGTGTTTCCACCCGTAGGCCAGTCAATTCCAAGTGTACTGGACGCCCCTGAATGTAAAAGCAAACTGTGGCCTGCACTCTGCTGCCAAAGGAATTGTGAAAAATGCATTGGCAATATCAGTTGTGGCATACCACTTGGCTGCCTTTGACTCTAGTTCATACTGAAGTTCTAGCATGTCCGGTACAGCAGCACTCAAGGGTGGTGTGACTTCATTCAGGCCACGATAGCCTACTGTTAGTCTCCACTCTCCGTTAGACTTTCGCACTGGCCATATGGGGCTGTTAAAGGGTGAGCAGGTCCTACTGATCACTCCTTGGCTCTCCAGTCTACAGTTCAGCTCATAGATGGGAATCAGGGAGTCTCGGTTGGGGCGATATTGACGCTGGTGCACTGTTGTGGTTGCAATCGTCACTTGTTCTTTGACCTTCAGCAACCCCACAACAGAAGGATCCTCTCCATCTGAAAGAGCAGGATATTGGACCTCCTCCTTCTCCCAAAATATCAGCAGCTACATAAAGTGAAAGACTGAGTTAAACATTTTCAGATTAGCCACTCCTGGCAGGTCAGGGTAAAACATGCAGTGGATATGAGCAAGAGCAGAAGAGACATCATTTGTGGAAGACACCTTAATACCCCATTGTAGGTTGGGGTTTTTTGTAACTCTCTTTTTCAACTTCTAGATCAAGCCACTGCTAACCAGTAAAAGGAACCCCTGCTAATCAGTAAAAGGACTTGACAGATCAATGTCTCAGTCTACACTGAGATTTTTTTTTGTATTCCTCCTGAAAAAGTAAAAATAAAATTGAGATAATCACATAAGTGCTGATCGAAGGCTACCTTTTTTTCATAACATCCAATATTTCAGCTCTAACAATCAGAATTAAATCAAACACCCATTCCATCTTTCACTAGTTTTACTGTGCGTATCAGTATCATTTGTACCAGTGTGCTTTATATTTGATTACATGAATAGCTTTAAAAGAACACCTTTCTTTAAGCCATTTTCTTTACCAAAAGAAAACATACATGGGAGTCTAGAGCTTCTTCTGTACAACACTAGATGAAAACCACAGAAAAGACTGCAAGCCAGGAGCACATCACAAGAGCTGAGCAACTGGATTAAAGTGAATGACACTGAACTACCAGGAAGAATTTACCACACCATCTGAAAGAGTAATTATACTCCATATCCAGCTCATAATTTTCCTTTTTATTAAATCACTGCTTGTAGGTTCAGTTTTTGTGGCATGGAAACACTGTTCTCCAGCACTGAGGTAGTAAAATTTGAGTGTCAAGAGACTGGCTTGAACTTGTACAGCTCTTGAGACATGGTACCAGACAAGAAAGTAAAAATTAATCATAGCATTTATGTAAAGCAGGAAAGAATCCTAACTAAAATCCTTTAGTTTGTGTTATACAGGAGGCCAAGTACATAATCATAATTGATGATTCTGCATTTAAACACTTATTAATTTTCATTCATGAAGCTGTGCCTTCATGGAAACAGGCATTCAAACACAAATACAGCAGTTGAACTTTTGCTGAAAAGGTCTACTTAACAAAAGGGACCTAATAAAATACTTTCCATATCCTTATTTCCACGGAAGCGGTAACCAAAAATGTAACACCAAGACTTTCATATGCTACCTCATTTAGTTTTGCTAAAAGAAACACTTCAAAAGCAGCATTACTCAATTACTGTTTTCCATAAGACATCAGAAGGTAATCCCATATGACTGTCCAAAACTGGAAACAAAAACCCACAAAGTCTCCCCACTCAACCCTCAAACCCACCAGTATTTATAATCCCATACATACAGGCAAAGGAGGGAGAGAAAACAGACAAGAAACAGTTTATTTGCTAGTTTCAAATCATATTTTTGGCTACAAGAACATAAAATTAAAGTTGTTCATGGTTGCTTTTGTTTAACAAAACCATCAATGATCAACTGAACTGAACCTGAGAAACTGCTGATAAGTATGAACTTAAAGACGGATTTTTATTATTTATTTATTTGCTTGTTTTCAGAAAGCTTTCCTGCTTTCAACTTTCTGATCTTTTAGAAGCTTTTTATCGGGGTTACGATGAAGAATGAAAAAAAACCAAAAAAACCCTAAGATCTATTCTGTCGTGGTTTTAAGCCCAGCTGGTAACTCAGAACCACACAGCCACTCCCCCCCTTCTTCCTTCCCCTACTCTTGGAGGCATGGGAAGGAGAATTGAAAGAATGTAAATCCCATGGGTTGAGATAAGAACAGTCCAGTAACCAAGGTATAACACAAACCAACTGCTGGTACCACCAATAATAATAATGATGATAAGGGAAATAACAAGGGAAGAGAATTCAAGTGCTCACCACCCACAGACCAATACCCAGCCCAACCCGAGC